GGGGTGGGAAGTCCGGAGTGGGGCGGCCTGGCGGCGCACACAGTTGGAGGAGACCGTGGCGGGCAGACCGGGGCCCCGGGGTGGACGGCGCACGGTCAGGCCCGGGACAGCGTCGCGGGAGTCGGTCTCTGAGGATGGAGTAGGAGGCGAGCCCCTGGACAATGGGGTTAGGTGGTCCTTTGCCGGCTGGGCGCGCGGGGGAGGAAGGAGCCACGCCTTTCCGCCCCTTCCGGTCAGTGACTCCCCCCAAACCCAGGCTCTCCACATGGCCTTCCCTGAGGGTCAGTGACCAGGGACCGCAGAGGAGCTGGCCCGGGTTATGGGCCAGAAAGTTTTCCAGGGTTGGTACCTTAGAGAAAATGGGGTGTAAGGTTAAGGCAGAAACATCTGCTGCTTAGTTGACTTCAATTTTGGGCCATCAAGTAAAAGCAAAAACTGTGCTTCACGGTGCAGCCCGTGCGGGTTGAGTTTTGCTCCACCTAATACAAGCTGAGCGATTTCAGTGACATTACATTTGGCAGTTGGATTTAGGACGTAGTTCAAGAGGCTCCTTAGTATATGTAGTTTAAAAAATGTGGCTTTAATTACAGGCTACAGAAATTGATAAAGAAACCCAACATTTTAAGGAGACAAATAACCATGTGAGATAAGCTATCATTAAAATGGAAAATGGGCTTCAGTGAAATGTATCTTTTTTCAAATACAAGGTTTATCGTCTAAGTGTCTTACCTGTTTTTCGTTTAAATAAATGTGTGTGCACTTTTAATGCACAAGTTTAAGAGAGACCTTGATAAATCCTGTGATCTTCTGCTCTTTGAGTCAGCTGTGTCTTTCAGTTAGTGGTTACTCATTACAGGGTGCCCCGTTTTAAAGACGTATTTGAAATGAAGTGTAACCAGGTGGTCTCCAGGGGGCTGTGTAGTGCTTCTCTCCTTTCTTTACTGGTTGTTTTATTATGTTATTAATATGCGTGTCTCATTTAAGTGCAGTATCAGGTGCGGTTGCCTACAAAGATGGTTTAAGTATGGAAAACAGCTGGAGTAAGTGATTTAGCCTGCAAGCGTGAGACCACAACGGGATGCTGCCCACCAAAAAGGGGGAAAGCTGAGTTTCATGTTTCTATCAAAGCTCCGTCCTTCCCTGTCATAATAGTCAGGTGGATCAGGACCCTTAAAGGAGATGGCCTGTCACCAGTGCTCTTGGCTGCCAGAGTTCTGTAGATTAGCTAGCTCACACCTAGCAAGGGGCCGAACCTAGCCACACAGTATCTTCCATAATCAGTCCAAACAGTGCCTACTACGGAGAGTTACTCCTTTCAAGTTGAGGGCTAGCCTGTGATGGGGAAGGATGAGAATGACTGAATTTCTTCTAGAGCCTTCTACAGGCTTTCATTGAAACATTTGAACATTCAGCGATATTAGAGAGGGAAGTGGTAAGACATCCCCGAGCTTTTGGAATACAAATGAAAAACAAGTAAAACTAAAGACTTTTATGGGTGGGGGGGTGGCAGTGGAAAGATTTAGGCCTAGAGAAGGTTAATACATTTCATTGTTTGTATTAGAGGAGGTAATCAGTTGCTTAAGCCAGGAGTTTTATGTTTTCTCTGTATTCTGCCACTGCCCTAGCTCATTTTCCCACCGGCAGGCTAGGCAGCTCTGGGGCATGGATTCCTATCCAGGCCAGCACTTAGCATACTTTACCTATTGCTCTCAGCCAATCACAGGCCAGCAGAACCTTCCTGCTCTGCTCCTCCATTCAATCTGAGGTCACCTCCAACTCAATATGCTGTTCTCATTATGGTAAATCATCCAGAGATACCTGTTTTAAAACTTGTACACAAATTCAAGCGAAAGTAGTGCATAATGACTTACCAGTTTTATGAAAGTATCTTCTGGACGTTTAAATTCTCTTTCCAAGTTAGCTCCCCCAAAATGCAGATTTAAACCTTTAAAAATGTGGATCGGTAGGCTTTTCGGGTCTTCAGATGCTTGTCTTGGTGTTCTGTCGGGCAGTTATTCAGACTTGTTCTAACGTGGCCTGTTTCCTCAGAACAGGAGTCATGGAGCTGCCAGAGAACCAGTAGACCAGAGTGGATTTCATATAAAGTACACAGGTACAGCCCTGTCCTTTCTCAGGCTACCCTGGCACATGTGATGAGGGTGACTTGAGTCAGTGATGTCCCACGGAAGGTGCTGGGTGATGGGGATATGGGAATAGTGGGGAAATGGGTAGGTCTAGGGGATGAGTGTGTGAACAGAGACGTCCACTGGCTGTTAGAGTCATGGGCCCCCAGGAGTAGGAATGACCATGGAGGTCACTCTCTTGCCTCAGTGTCCCTAGAGTGACTGGTACCTTTCAGGCCACAAGTCCTGGTTTGGGGTTTGGAGAGTAAGGCTGCCTCCTTACAAGACAGACCCGAGTTCCATGCATTTTGATACTGTTCTGTCAGATTGTAATTCCTTTCTGTAAGAAAGTTAGGTGTACGCTTGGGTTGGATTGTGTGCATTTTTGTGAAAACAGTTGATTCAGATGAGGATCACTGCCGTTGTTGGAAAGACACAGTTGTGGGAAGTCACCTTTGGCCCTCAAGCCTGTTCAGGTCCCGGTTTCTGCTGCTTGTACTGCTGTTGGGGGCATAGGTCGCACCACAGGTGGCCGTGATTTCAACCTGAACAAAGTTAAATATTTTTACATTGACCTACTTTATTTGTATTCTTAAAAAAAAAGATTATGAAGTACCTTAGAAATGTAGGACTGGATATAAATTATAATGAAGAATTATAATTAATTATTAATAGTTAATTAATTAATAATGTCAGGTGTAATATTGTGTTTTGTCAAGTTCTGATCTGACAGTCATATATCCTGAGCTGTTTATAGGTGAAATAATATGACTTCTGTGATCTGCTTTACTCAAACTCGATTGAAAAAAGGGAAGGTATAGTTGAATGCTTTGGCAGTGGGTATTTATCATTTGTTATTCTGTTTGCTTCTGTGAAGTTTTGAAATTTCCATGTCAAAACTGGGGAGGAAAAAATCCTCTAGGTTATGGGTCCCCAGTTGTTGGCCCATGTACTTGTCAAATCATCTCTCAGCTAGTGTCTGTGAGGAACTGGGCGCTGGAGCTAAGTTCCAGCAGCCCTCAGGCAGCCATACCTTCTCCACAGGTATGTGCGGGTACACGTAAGTATTTGTATAGCTGAAGTGAAAGTTTAAAGACAGGATTCTTACTACAAGCAATGCACTCTCTGATTTCCTTGTTTTTTTTTTTTAACTTGCTGGTCATGACCTACTAAATTGCTTTTATAACTGAATTGATTCCATAGCTGCCATAGTCATAATATGAGTTAACAAAGTGAATTTGGGCCTCTATACCTTGCTTTGTCTTTTCTGTCTGAGAGCTGTCACAGCGATTCTTGGGTGGCAGTCTGGCGCCCTGGGGTTAGGAAGCAGGAGGACCACCGCAGGAGGTCCCTGGCAGAGACCTGGGTCAGGTGGCCAGTAGGCGAGCCCCGAATAACTGGCAACTGTGAGGCTCGCTCCTCTTCTGGTTTGGAGAATGACTGTTTGCACAGTATCATGTATGTATTAATTTTCAGCATTAGGAACTGTGGACTCCCTGGTCTCCTTTGTCAGAGTGGTAACCCACTGACCATAATAATTTAGATTCAGAAGGCACATCAGAATCTTATAGTGCTTTTCTGTTACTGCTCCGAGCATCGTTTAAGAGGAAGATAGTGCAGAGGAAACATTTCTACGAGCAATAGTGCTGCAGTAGGGGGCCGCTCTGAAATGAGAGGGGCCGTCAGCATTCTTCCCCATGAAGTCGGGGACAGGTGCCTTCTGTGCTCAGTCGGTTGGTCACTGCAGTTACTGTTGGTCTTTTGATTCTTCATGTCTGCCGGCAATAATAACCCAGCTGTCCCATCCTCATTACCACTCTGTGGTGTGATTCGGTTAAGTTACTATAGATTTAGCTGATCGGTGTGAAATCATCGTGTTTATTTGAGTGCCTATTACGTGCTTAGCACAGTGGAAGGGCTAAGGACATTGCATTTTACTTGGAGAGTAAGCTGCTCACACAATGTTAGAGAATGACAGAGGGCTGGTGCCAGCATATCCGGAGAGACACAGGCATCCACTGATTCTGCACGGGACCATGTATGATGATCAGAAGCAGGAGAGGTGGAGACTTGAGGCCCCGAAGTGCTGGGAGGCACTGGGACTGGGGTGTGGATTGGGGGAAGTTTGGTTTTGGTCTTGGGTGCAGCTGAAGCCACTGGAGGTTCTCATTTATTCTTTGAAGAACTGTCGGTCGGTACTGACTGCGTGCCAGGCCCAGATGCTGGGGGACAGGCGAGCTCTGTGGCCGCAGAGCTCGAAGCGGAACTCAGAGGACAGGTGACGGCAGACTGGTAGGAAGTGTGGTTTGATAAGAGTGAATAAGAAAATCTTTTCTGTTATGAAGGCATCACGTGCAAGTGTAGAGAAAATCTCCTAATGAAGCCCCTGTGCCCCAATGTTGAATATTGTCAATATTGTCGGCTATCATTTCAGGTACAGGTTTTCCTCATCCATCCCTGCTCCCCAGGTGTCACGAGCTAAATTGTGTTCCCCAACCCTTCGTATGGTGAAGCCCTGACCCCCAGCACCTCAGAATGGGCCTATATTTTGGAGATAGGGCCTTTAAAGAGGTGATTAAGGCTAAACGAGGTTAGTCGGGTGGGCCCTAATCTCATGTGACTGACGCCCTCATAAAAGGAGGCAGTTTGAACAGAGAAACCAGAGAGGTGCACACAGAGGAAGGACAGTGTGAGGACCAGGGAAAAGATGGCTGTCCCTGAGCCAAGGAAAGAGGCCTCCAGAGAAACCAAACACCTTGGTCCCAGACTTCCAGCCTCCAGAACAGGGAGAGAATAAATGTGGGCTGTTAAAGCCACCAGGTGTGTGGTGCTTTGTGAAGGCAGACTAAGCAGGTTATTTTGAAGCAGATCCTAGACATCAGGCTGATAGGACAGGACCCTAGGGTGACTGGTCCTGTGCTAGGACTCCTTTCAGTGGGACTTGGTCTCAGTCTAGCCCCGAGGTTCTGAGGACCTGGCCTCCACTGTCACCTCAGACATGGACAGACTACTCAAAGTGGAGGAACCACCCGCACCCTGCTAGGCATGAGCCCCAAGCCTCACACTCCCCCCAGGGGTTTGTAGCAGGGGATTGGGCTGAGCCTCCGTGTCATTGTCCTGACCCATGGTCTTTGGCTGGCACTTTCCGCTTCCCCGTTCACTCTTTCTTATCGCTCAGTCCAAGGACAGTGGCACTTCTTCAAATGTGGCGCTCAGTTTTAACGGTCACGCAGTTGTGAGGGAGTTTAGATTTGAATCTGTCAGTTTAGTCGAAATAAAAAGGATATTTCTCCCTTAGCTCAGTCCAGTGCCAAAACCGTTACAGTTTTTCCTCCTAAGTGTGCCTGAACAGTAGCAGTTTTCTGGATTATGTTAAGAGGGCATTTGATCCCAGGCATTAGATGTGCGCAGCAAAACGAGAATAATCCTCCTTAATAAGTGCAGCAGGAAGTTGGACTTCGGGCTTTTGTTCGAGGCTTAGGATGGTGAACTGCAGTGTGTATCTTGTAATCCAGGAGGTGGAAAGAACAGCCGAATTCTGAAAGTGAGAAAACCGGTCCCTCTGACCCTGTTGCATTACTGTTCTTCAGGAGAACCTGGTGTGGGAGTCACTCACTCAGGGTGGGAGATGCTGCTTCACTTATATTGTTACTTATGACTCTGAGAAGAAGAGAGAGACTTTTATTTATTTGAATCTTTATTATCCATCCTATAGTTTGAAATTACATGCCATTTCCTACCCAAATCTAACATGCTTCCTGTGTGTCATTGTTGTTAATTCTACAGTGAGGTGTGGCTTAGAATATTCCGTTCTTTCCCTTGCTCTTTACATGATGGGGATGCAGTTTTATTAATTTAATGCCTCGGACTGACGTATGTGTCAAGTGTGTTATCTCACTTGTTACACTTAAGGAAATGTTCCAGGTCTCACCATGTCTAAGTGTTTTATTGTTGCCACTAGATGTGTCGCTGTAAATAGCACTTAACGTTTTATGTTCTGAGATAACGCACAGTAGCTGAAGCAGACCTGCCTGTGGTACATTTAATGTCAGACCTTCTAAGGCTCCTTTCCCTTCACGTTGTGCACCTTCAGCCCTGCTCCTTAGAAGAGGAATATATAGCCGCAGTCTGCTTTTTCCAGCAGCACCCCCACCTCGCATCTTATTATGAAAAGTTCTCAATACACCGAAGTCAGAAGAATTTTTATGGGAAGTACCTAGGACATCCACTGCCTAGATTCTACCATAATGTTTGCTGTACTTGTTTTATCCATCTCTACCCATCTCCTCATCCCTCTATCCATCCGTCAACCTGTTTTATTTTTCTGATGCATTTCAAGTACATTGCAGACATCAGTGCACTTTGATCTAAACACTTCAGCAGGCATTTTATTAACTAGAGTTCAGTATTTGTTTATAATTTTCTTTTGCTGTAAAAGTGATATTCAGTGAAATGTACACATCTTAAATGTACATTAGCTAAATTTTAAAAAATGCATACACCTGTGTAACCCAAACTCTTGCCAAGAAATAGACCATTGCCATCAGTCAGAAACTTCCCTTATGCCTCTTAGAAATCTCTTTCCCAGGTAACCACTGTTCTGTTTCCACTGTCGATTAGTTCTGTCTGGATTAGTCCTATCTGTTTTAGAACTTCATACGAATGAATTCATACAATATACGTATATTCTCGTGTGCAAGGATCCTTTCATTTTGAGTTTCATCCATAATGTTGCATGTGTCAGTTACTGCTGAGTAGTATTTTGTTGTATGTATATACCACAATTTATCTGTCACTTGCTGTCCAACATTCGGGTTCTTTTTAGTTTTATTATGAAAAGCTGCTATGAGCATTTGTGAACAACTCATCACTTGAACATGTTGTCATTTCTCTCGGCCAAATACCTAATAATGGAATTGCTGAATTATATAGTAACTACATATTTAACTTTATAGAACCTGCCAGAATATTCCCTACCGAATTTCTGTCT